TATGCTTCAATTTCCTATTGGAAGCACCGGTATTTGTTTTTCATCCAATGTTTGCATTTTCAATTATGGCTTAATTGAATTTTTTCTATTTACAATGGAAATTATTTATTACCTTGAAAACATATATAAGTAATTGTACTAATGTCGTATGTACACGTCACCATATGTTTATTTAAATATACAATAATAATAGTGAATAGTCGTGTTGTCTGTTAGAAAAGAACAAAGAAATATAGATTCAGCTTGATTAGCATCTTGTAAATAGCTAGCAATTCAAGGATATTAATAAGAATTCCGAAATTCTCTTTGATACACACATACACATACACATACACATATAGAGAGAGTATTATTTATTTATATACTGATTATGTGTCAACCTATTGGCGACTGCTTTTCATATAAAGCTTATTGAAACTTTTAATATTTGTCTAAATGAACTAAAAACAAATAAAGTTATATATAAGAATCTCGTATCACCCATCACCATGCTTTTCGCCTTCTACTCCCCAAATTCTTTTATTTGATACCTGGGACACGCTTCACTTCTTATGCAAAATCTATGAAAATGTTTCGATAACTGGTTTGTCTTAAGCGAGCAACAGTTTTTTTGGCCTGATATTCACAAATTGTCGGATAGGTACGAAAAATATAAAGCTAATGTAATACATCGAATGAGATATCCGTGAACATTAGACAAACTATCCAATTATAAGAGGATCAAGGTCGATCGAATGACTCATCGAAGTTTCGATTTTAGTTTAACGAGGGTAATAAATAAAAGCCAAAGTCAAAATTTTATATTATTTATTCTAGTACAAGTTATGTCAGGAGCATCTATTATTATGGGAACTGATCAATTTCTAAATCCTCTGATTACAATAGGTATTACTATATAGAAAATTATAATAAAAGCATATGATATTACAATTACACTATAAATTTGATCATCAAAAATTAATGCTCCTGGATAACCTAATTCTGCTCGTACTAAAACTCTTAATGAAGTTCCCATTCTTTCTGATCGTTTCCCAAAAATAAAATGTAAACTTACAGTAGCTTTACGATCTGTCGAAAATAATCATTGTGGCATTGTAATAAATAAAAGAAGCCCGAAGACTTCATCTCATTTCTTATCCTAGGTAATGTTTCGAGATCGTAATCTTAATATGAACATTCCACCAATCGAGATATTGTACTCTCGGTTAATAGTTTGTTGAATCTCATAACATACCATTTAGAAAAATTTCTAAAGACTCTAGCCCAAGTTCAAGTTCAAGTGTTTTCAACAGCATTCTTTTACGCTTTCTAGTAATAAATGGTTGCAATTTTTGTAAACGATTGGCATATCTTGTGATCAAATTAAATGAAAATTTGAAAATAATTAAAAAAAAAAAATTATTTTAAAATTTCACTATTTTTGAATTTTAATCTTTCTTTATTGTGGACACACTTTTGAATTGAATGCATACGAGTCGTCTTACTACGAACGAAGATATATCCTAACTATGTATCAGATTGCTTTACCTTATTATCTGCGTACAAAAAAAAAGCTTTCCTCTGCAGGAGGTAGAAGAAATTTGAAAGAAAATGTAATAGTAAGGGATACGTTTCCTTCATAAAATTAAGGATTTAAATTGAGATGCGATAAGCAAAATACTCGAACACCAACTTTTATCTTGGAGCAAAGATACTCTTCGTGACGCAATAAAAAAATTTCAAAAATAATATAAAAACATTCGGTTCTTTGGAATCACAATTTAATAATCAAACAGCTCCCATGTACTACTTATCTCTTGTATGCATATTGAGTCAGTTAATATATTTCTAGTATGTAAACGAAATGAATAATTAATTAAAATTTTTATTATTATTGGGTTCGAAAGTTTTTCCAACGATTTTTCAATTCTTACATATCACTGAAACTATTTTCAGAACCAACCAATGGAAGACGCCTTCCCGGTTAGAATCTTTTGAAATTTAGGGATAAACGCAGAAGAGATCAAGACCTTGTGAATAGAGCCCTTATCCCACTATTTTTAGTATTGTTAAAGGACCTTTGTTAATAGATTCATTGTTCACATACATCTTAACAACACCTACCTGCTGTTGTTCTTCTACTACTTCTTTGCAATTAGTCAATTAACACGATTCCCTTTTCATCCTAAAATTTTGATATCATAAACTTTAAGCTTACGAACTATTTATCGACGAAAAAATCTTGTTTAATGTTGTTCTCATTCCGCAATTAGCAAATCCAGCGCTCAACTCATTAATAGCGTTCAGAAAACATTGGTTGAGATCTCATGTTAAAATAAGCGGTAATTTTCCCTTCGTATATGTTTTGTTCGCCCTCTTACGCAACTCATCTCTCATAATAATCGTTTTATTTCTCATATTTCCATATGCCATCATCAAAGTTGGCACTTCTGCCGAGTTAGGAACAACAAGTAGTTATTTGTAGCAGTTGCCAATTTATGTGCAAACTATGTTTACACAGCTAGTGTTTCATATCGCTTTAATTATTTAAATTAATTAAGAAAGTTTGTCTCTCTTTTCGGCTATAAGAAGTTAATACTCAACGTGTTTACGCAGAGCGGAAAGAATGAAATTCGTGGATTGATTTCTGAAATGAATGATCGGAAAGTGTAGATTATCATGATTTCGATTATAGCCTGCCGAATTCTTCCCTCAAGAAGGATATATACGCGAAATGAACCATGCAAAGCATTCTCGTTAGAGAAGTGATACAGTTTAGGTTTGCAATTATCGTAGCTATGTAGATCAAGAGCCACGCTTTGGTTTTTTGCGGTTTTGGTCTTTAATCATAGGAGAAGCAAAACTTGTTCTCCCTTGTCGCAGTTTTTGATCCGACTTCTTATCAAATTTATAACACTTTTCAGAGCATTGGTTGTAATAAAACTCCTCAGTACCAATATTGTTAAGCCACAGTCGAGATTTTTAAGCCACAAAACCTACAAAAAAGGCGCTTGTGACTTGCGAAGTCTTTCTTTAAGTGTTAAATTTGTTGAACGCATAGTTTATATATAGAAAATATATTTTCTTTTTAAATCAGATGCTACTACTGCACTATTTTTCGATGAAATTATCAAGTATTTACAGTTAGAACAATAGAACGTTGCCTTTTCTTAAGTGATTTATTCGTAAGTTTTGTTTTTTTTCATTCGGTCAGGGGACCTAAACCTAATTACATTTGTGTGTTTGAATTATGTGGAAAAAATTCCAAATTCTTACAACACTCGCTGAAAAGTTGAGTAAATTTATTGAAAATCTCAAAAATTGTTTTCGTTGGTATTGATCGAAATTTGACATAAGATTGTCGAGATTTCAAAGAGAGCTACACTCATTGCAAAAAAAAAAAAGCCCATTTTGTATTTAAATATTTTGTTAAAGAAAAGTTTCCTATATATATGACCTAAGCGGTACTTTAGCTTTGCCTTGAAGTAAGCGTAAATTTTTTTATTTGTTTTTTGTTCCTCTCTTTTTCATCTGATGGCGCACTTCGACGATACGGTACATTTTTCATACTAATTTTTTTTTTTTTTATTTCGAATAATACTGTACTTGTAAGCATTGGCATTAATATTTCAATATGTTGGGTTTTTTTTTTTTTTTGGCAGTACATTTACCGAACACGTGCAAAAGTAAAAGCGTATTGACTCCTTTAAACAAAGGTAACTGTTTTAAGTTTTCCCCGAGTTATTTTCTTATTTTGTTTTTCGGTAAAAGTTTTGACGTCTCTCGAGGTTCGTTCGTTAACAAGCAAGTCAGTTTTTTTTTTTTTTTTTTTTTTTTTTTTGCTTGTCTCTTCGCATACTTTACAACGCTAAGCGCTATCATCATCATCATCAAGATTGTCTGGCACGCAAAATTATATGGCCTTTTACGAAAGTGAATTTTCCAAATTATAATGACGAGACTAAAGTTGGGCACAATAAAGTTAACAAGTCTCAATATATATCTTCTTAACAATAAAAAAAAAGTAAGAAGACACGCTGCTTGTTAACAATTGTAAACTAAAGTATAAAAGAAGTGTATATGGAAAGTGTTTCGTACGTAAAAAAAAAAAAAAAAATTAACAAAAATAAAAAACAATGATGAAAAAAGAAAGAAAGTAAAAAGAAAAAAAAGAAAATTTCGTAAAGTGCAGTTAAATGTTTGAAGCAGCTGTTCAAACTCCTACATAGTTAGTTAGCTTACCTTTTAACAAATAACTAATACTACCTGATGGCCAAGTAACCGCACTTGCCCGAGGCTGTCCACATTACCATTAATGTGTTGATGTGTGCGTTTAACATTTTTGACGCGTGTTTTGTGGTACATTGTTGCGGTTATGTAGGTTGCACACAACATGGATACAGCATCCACAAGCCAAGAATATTATTAAATTGCCGCAAATGTTGGAGAGAAATTCGTATCGTGCATGCCTCGTTCAATTTGCATTGCTGTGTGGACAACTTGGCCCTCGTTCGTTGCATACGAACACTTTATTCTCCTTCAATCGGGCTATGCTTTTCATTGTTCGGGTTCATAGTAACACGACTTCGTATTTTGTTGTATGCTGTTTGCCATAAGGATTATTTCAATTTCCTCGCACATGATGATGATGAGTTTAGTTGCGATAAAGAGTCTGTGCAAAGTGGATGTATTTACATTGTTTGAACGGATGTATATTGCGTATAGTGACTTAAACGAAATCAAGTCAATATCTAAATATAAATAAATAGATATAAAAATATTTAGTATTGTCTTTTTTTTTGAATTATATTTTACGTAAAATTTTTATTTTAATTTATTCATACCGTTAATATGCGGATTTTCTTTTCTTTTTTTTTTTTTTTTTTTTCTTTTTGATATTTTATTGAAGCAAAATAAATAGATAAACGAATGAATAACTAAAAGCAAAAAGCAAGTGATCGATCGAATGGTGCGCATAATAGTAAATATAAGATCGAACATAATTATCATGAAAATATGTAAATCTTGAGAATTATTTATCGCTTCGACAATATCGTCTATTAAGCTCTTAGATGAAAGTTTACATTAGTTGCTATATATGTTGTTAGACTCAATTTAAACTCAATACATCATTATTATTTATTGATTAGATATGATTTAGTGAATATCAGAGCATTAAACTGTTTGTTTGTTTGTGTTCTGTTAGTCAAACAGTTTTCTGTTATTATCGGGCCAAGGTGGGCAAGCAATGCGTGCATGTTGTTCATACATTATAAATATGTGCAAAGTTATCAATACAAAAATATTAAAGGATTACCACATTAACATTTTATTGCCCATGATAAGCCATTAAAACTGCATTGAAAAAGGAAAAGAAATGAAAAAAATAGAAATGCATAAAACATTTATGGAAATGTGTAATGCGAAGATATATATATATATATATACATAGAATAAAAATAAATGATCAGATTTTCATATAAATGCTTATTAAAACTGAACTGAACTTTACTCGAAAAAGATGCAAAGACAGGAAGAGAGGAGGATTATAGTTGAGAGTGTGTAACGTGCAATGTTTGATGTTGTATTGGCAAAGTGATGATAATCAAGTAAAGTAATAAAAACGCGGTACACATCAAGCGGCATTCAATTGCTTAAGCTCATTGAAGTTTGTATTGCCTGTGTTCGAACACCATACAATTAACTTACTTAGCGCTCTTAAAGCTTTTGTTTTGTTATTATTATTTTTTTTTTCTGTAATGTTAGTCTAGCTCTTGATCCTTTAATTCAAGTGCAGAGTTCGGATTTAATAGTCTTTCCACATTAGACAGACCGTGATATAGAGTTATATAGAGACATATATTGGGATATGTGAGTATGTATATGTGAATATACATATTGTACACATATAGATGTATATATGAACATATTGTGTGAACATACAGGTATGCATGTATATATGTAAATATGTATATGCATAAGCATGTCCATATATAAGGACGCTTTGATGTTAACACATACAAAGAAACGTAAACGTAGTAAGCATGTTTTGATTGCTAAGAAGGTTATGCTTTGAAAATATATCCGACGTTGCTCTTAAGTAAGAAACAATTCATGGTAAAGTAAGACAATAGGCATTCTTTGCATATGCAAGTCAACGATGTCTTTTAGTCGCTCGACGACTCCCTTTCCGAAAATCGTCCTCTTAGGCTAATTAAATATTGATAAATTTTTTCACTGAATATAATGCTCTTCATACCTTCCGTAGTTATAAGATCTTTTGCAACATGCTAATAAGGTAATCGCAATACAATTGTAGAATACGCTTTCCCTAGCTAATCTATATTGGTGAAGTTCACGACAAATAGAAAAAGAATACTACTTTAATGCCATCAGAAATTCAAAAGACTGCACTCACTCTCTTACCGGGATTTTGATGAATATATGCAGAAGCGTACAGTACGATCCTAAGACATTTTCGTGACGCTGCATGTGTAAGATTGCTTTACTTTCATCATTTTAATTCATAAATTGCTTTATGTATTTTCACTGAAAATATTCAATCAAATACTTGTAGAAATCTAAGAAAGAAATATGCACTCAACGGTTGTGTTCTAATGTATTTGCTTACATGCTATATTCCTATGGTTGTCTGTGCTTTTGTCTGCTCTTAACGTTATTTCACTATTGCATTCCATTTATTATTTCCTTTTCATAAAGTGGGCCTGAATACGCGAAGAGGTGGTTCGTACATATGATTGTATTATTTTTGTATATTTCACTAAATACTTACTGCAATACATTTTTGTCTCTGGGTGTGATTATGTTTATGTTTATGTTGTTATGTTGTAGTCGATGTTTCCATTAGCTTTTTTGCAAATATAAACAGGTTTGGGTTTAAAACTGTGATTTTTAAAAGAATTCGAATTCATATGTATGTGTGCGCATTCTTTGATATATATAAAAAAAAAAAAAAAAAAAAAAAAATTAACAATTATATTTATTTCCAAAAAAAAAAAAAAAAAAAAAACAAAAAATGATATTTTCCCCATTTATATGTCTTCTACGTAAGGCTTGTGCTTTCGCATATTTTTACAAAATTTACCCACCGGGATATTCATCTTCGCTGAACACTTTTCAATAAAGTAAAATAGTGGCTGCTAAATCCCATCCAAAAAAAAAACTGGATCATTAATTTGTGATTTTGCTTAAAGCATCGATATATGTATGGATATATATGCGCCACAGATTTATGCATAAATTTTTGCATAAATTACATAAAACGGATGATAAGAAGAGCTATAAGAGAATTTTTTCACTTCTCAATGTTGGAAATTTGAAAATTAATATCAATGACGTAAAATCAACGTAAAAAATTCTGTCCAATTGAATATGAAATAAACGGTTTCCCTTCCATTCAATTCGATGTTTATTGAAATTGCGTGAAACACGTTTTTTGTCTTCATTCAGTAAAAAGTTTTCAATGTTCTCCTTAAAGCTGAAAATCTTTTCCTTTTGTAATTATATTTTATTTTTTTATTTATTTTTTTTTACCTCACATCTCTTATATATAATATTTTTGAGAAGATGATATGAAGCCAAAGTATGCGAGTAATGTGCTTTTAAACGTTCATTAACTAAAGATGCCAACATTTAAAGAAATCCTCTTCAACTTGAAACCAAAGTTATTCATTCTTGTGTTGACTATTTTGACATACACACTGGCTTATGTCGATAATATCTTTCGGGCTACGAGTATGTGTGTCTTTGAACATTCATTAGCAAAAACATTCACAATTTTAAAGAAATCCTCTTGAAACTTAAAATCAAACTTATTAACTTGTGTTGATTTAAAAAAAAAAAAAAAAAAATTGTAAAAAAATATTTTGACATAAATTCTGTCTTTATGTTAGCAAATTGCTATCTGATTTCGTTTTCAGAGACATTTCACAATATCGAACCGCCCATGTATTTTAGCCGGTGATTATGTGAAAAACGAGTCGTCTCTCTGTTGCGAGGGAGGAATTTATGTGACACTTTTGTTGTTTTCTTTTTTTAACTACAATGTATACAACATTCAGTCGAAATAACCCACCATCATTAAGGTTAAAGGATTAAGCTGCGACTAACATTATAGAAAAAAAAAAGGCTACGGCAAAGTTCAAAGGAAACACTTCTTGTAAAGAAAACTTTCACTTCAAAGTAAACAGTTTTTACAATATTTTTTTTTTAGTTTTCAAATACAAAGAAGTGGCGAACTCAACCAGTCTACGACTTAAACTATGACATTATATAGAACGAACATCGAGCAGAAAACAATTTACAATTTTTTTTTTTTTTTTTTTTGTGTAGTCTTAAAGCGTCAACAACAAGCGAACATACATTTAATACATTTTTTTTTCTTGCATTTTCCTTCTTAATACACGCCATAATTGTTTAGAGGGTTAGAAGCACAAATTTATAAAATTTTTCTTAATAATTTTTGCCGTTCATCATACGTTAAAAATAAATCATTAACATTTTCGCGATCGTGTACCAGTGCCATACTTCACCATTCTTTACCATATTCAGCTGCTGTGAAGCAATAAATGACTGCTCAATGTGACGCGCCATGTAATTGCCGCATGCGTACATCCCTCGTCGTCGCGAAAGTGTTAATGAATATAAACGTTTGCGCTTTCAATTGAAATAATTTGACGAAAACATATTTAGTGCATATGTTATGTTATCTAATAATATTCTTTCCCTCGCTTAGATTTAATTGGTTAGCTTTTTATCTGACTTGTTTCGGGATTCGGGATTCGGGATTTTGCGATTGGAATTGCTTTAAAAGGCTTAAAAAATGCCCATATCAGAGGAAATTTTGAGATGAAACTAAATATCGATGAACGTGACGACTACGCCTCAAGTGCTGAGGATTATTACGAATAGATTTGGTTAACCGACTTCCGCGGATTTATTTTTAGAAATATGCTTCCGCTTATTGAGTGCTTAAAGAGGTATATACTTACGTAAATTGTAAATATTTCTATTTATGCAAATCTCCACTCATAGGATGGTATTATAACAAGCAATAATATGTAGTAAGAAAGTGATAGTCGGTTGGGACACTCAGCTTGTCGCCTTTCACTTTCACCCCGTTCTGGTGTCCACCAAATTTGTTTCAGAAATAATGCTTTTTTAGGCAGATAATATATCTTCATTCAGGTAATGTACAAAATAGTTCTAGGCATTCTGTCTTGTTTATCTTATGATTGATAAACGTACAACCTTAAAAAAGTGAAGAAAAGTTATTCAGTTAGAACTTTGTTTGGGTATGGGCGATTTTTTCCAATTTTTGCACATAAATAGTAGTGTAATTAGTAATGAGCAAATTTTTGCTTAGTGAAACGGAGTTGCATTCACTTTACGCTTTGCTAAAGGCGTTTGTTCTGACCCCATAGATTCGCCTATAGAATGTGCGTAGATTCACTTGGTGTAGTTTACGAGTAATGCGCCAAAAACGCTTTGAAAAGCAGAGGTATTTTTAGTGCTGTGGGCGTGTCTTCTAACCGATTTGATCCATTTTCAATTCCAACATGTGTGCGAGATCTCTCAATTTTCCTACCAAACTCGAAGTCGATACCCAGACGGACAGACATAGCTTAATCAATTCAGAATTTTACGCTGATCAAGAATATATATAATTTATTAGGTCACTGAAGCTTCTTTTTGGATGTTGCAAACGTTATGACAAAATGTGTGTACCCTCATTGTTGGGTGATGGGTAAAAAAAGTATTCTCGTTTTATTATAATTATTTTAGGTCAACCACGTGAAACTAATGTGTGGAAATTGCCAGATAGTTCGTTACTAGTACAAGTGTCAATCAATCGATCGGAAATATTCTTACAATGAGCTCGTGAGAGATGCTATCCCATATCATATATAAGCTTAAGCTTATAAACAATTTTGCTTATTTTGACAAACCAAGGTTATTTGCGAAAAAAGTTTTCAAGTTGCTCTCAATTTTAGATAAAAATAATTTTTGATGTTTTTTTTCTGTTTGCGTGGCAAGAGGAACGAAAAAGTCATAGATAGACGGATGACCGTGGTAGGTTACAATCATCAAGGACATGCATTCTTATTGACTTTCCTTCTGGATTGTTACTGTGGCCAGGTTAAGAGGAGGCAGTGCCATGTAGGGGTCTTGATATAACGGAGTATTAAACATTGTCGTCTTCGTCTTCTTCTTGAATGTTCAGCGAGTCAACAACGGATGATGCGTTGCAAAAAAAAATATCATCTTTGCGCAGAGATGATATCGCACCCAATGGGGTTCTACCGGGACGCGATTATTAGTAGTTGAAATTTGAATCATATCTGATGTCAGGAATAAGGCATTTAGATGAATTAGTTAAATTCTTACAAATCGGGTATACTACTGTCATTCTTTTCGGTTGGTTTCGAATGGTTATAAATATGAGCAAAGCTAATATATTAATTAATGTTTGTGGGTCATAGTCAAAGACATGAATTCTCATAAATTTTAAAAAGTAAAACTTTTTCCTCCTCTATGCGGTAGATTTTTAATGAAAAGGTTTCCTTTGGTTCCAATTATTTTATATGAGTTTTGTGTACGAAAAAAAAAAAAAAAAAGATTAAGTTAAACACGAACAAATATATATATAAATGAAATTTTTATTCCATTCACGTATTATGTGTATGCAGACATACAATATAATAATAATTTCATTAAATGCAAATAAAAAATATGCAAAAAGTATGTTAAATGTGCTCTCCATTCATATATACATATGTATTTATATATATATAAGCGTAAGGCTAATTCATTCTTTGAGTCATTATTTTGTGACATTTTTTGATTTTATCGTTCAGGCACTTCAGGTAAAAGTTTTGCAATTAATTTTCATAATTTAAATATAATTTAATTGCTTTCATTTGTATGTTTATAACACGCCTCAGAAATCTTAATTTGAAAATGCGAACAAGAAGACAAACAAACAGACAAACAACCAAGCGCACAACATATATAAAAATATTTGTAAACATACATGAAAGTATTATTATTATTATTATTTCGACATAAAGTACGGCAGTCATCAACATGCATTCATACGCACACATGTGCATATGCATGGGGACGTGTCTGTCTGCATACAAAAATATTCTTATTTATGCGTGCGTGTTCATAAGTGTCTAGCATATGTTGAAGTTTTCCAAAAAACTTTCTGCTAATCTTGGAAATTTTATTTAATGAAAACATTATAAAAACCACAAACGACAAAAAAAAACAACATTTGCTTTTTCTTTTCTTTTTTTTTCCTTTCATACATATATATGCATATATATATATATATATATATATATATATATATATATATATATATATTTTATTCTTGCCTTTTAATACCGACTTTTTCAACGGTAATAACTTTTTCAAAGAAAGAGAGAAAGATTAAAATTAATCGCATTAAAATGAAGGACACATCCAATAACGCAGGAAAGATATAGTTGGATTTCCGTTAAAATTTTTTTGGGTGTGTTTTATTCGCATAAATCCTTTGAACAGCTCGATAATATCCCTAATAGTTTCATGAACTAAGTAAAAATTTGCTTTTAAAAATTGAGGAAAGCAACACCTAAGATAAATTTATGAAAACTCACTATTAATTTGGGTTGATGAGAGAGGTACCCTCCCAGAAGGATGCTTCAGCAAATGTATAAACTCACACTTAGTGGCATTGGTATTTACCTATTTGAGTTATACTTCCTCGCCTTTCAATTAATACTTCTTGCCCCTTGAAAATCTATTGACTCTCTAAGCCTATTTATTGTGATTTAACTATGCTCCCAATCAATTCATCAATTTTTTTGGTTCCTCAAAATCATGAAATTGGTAATAAGACTTGTTCTTGCATAAATTTTATTAGGCATGGGTTGAAGAGCGAGGGCATATATGCCCATAATGCTAAGAAATTGAAAAACCATCAGAGAAAAGGATCAAAAAAAATTTTACGGACAACACTTGATATTATTTTCAAATTCGATGCAATATTTGTTAAACGTATATTAATATTATGTTGTTTGTACATGAAAATTAATTCAGTCGATCTGCTATTAATGCAAAATAGTACTTTTGTAAATAGTAGTTCGAATTTTTTGATATCCAGTAAGGAGGTCTTCTGCTGAGATTTTCCGTTCGCCCATATCCATTAACGAATATGACGGGAAATATCCAAACCGACTTTTGGCTTAAGAAATTGAAATTTGTTTGTATTATAGTTAAATAGCATATTAATCAAAAATATATAGACTTCATTGGATTCCTATTGCGCTAATGTGTAACAGTTATTGTGAAGGGAATCGTTAAATTACTATCCGCAGGTGGAAAGTAATCTTCTCCTTTGGGGAAGTTAAAGTAAATTCAAATTCGAACTAAGCGAACCTGTGCTCAAGTCAAGTGATTAAAAAGCCGAGTTAAATCCGATAGACTATACTTAAATTATGATTGGTATGTAGTTGTAACTGTGGGCTGCCGCATTGTCGAGTAGGTCACAGTTGCGACAATCATGTTAGTTCAAACCGCAAACAATGCGACTTGCAATCATATCGGGTAAGAGGTACAGTGAGTGTTCAGTTAATAACCGCATAACATTTACTGATTAGAGCCGAAAACACATTCACTTTACTGCGGCAATCTCTTCCTCACTCTCTCTCACCAAGTCTTTCTGGCCATCAACATGTTACGCCTGTAACGGACTTCTCTAGAATAGTTGGTGATATTAAAAAAAAAAAAAAAAATAGTAGCGCTCGGTTGGTAATGGTTCATAACACTTGTCGATTGAGTACACTTGCCCCAGGCCGCGGCCATTTCCTCTTGCTATCTCTTGCTCTTCTCCTCTTTCTTTCCGTACGGGAGGCATTCATTCCCTCCATGATGAATGATTGCTTTATGATTGTTTACGAAAGTGAAATTGTTATTCATTCAGTTTAATTCTTTCCTTAAAGTATATCATGCGATAATTTAACGTAATATGTTTCCGTTCAAATATACCTTTTTCCTAATATGCACTTTCTCTCAGAATATCTTTTCCGATTTCAAAATATTGCATATATTAATAGCTTAATAAGAAGAACTGGTGAAAAATTGTAATCGTTATATTGCATATATATATAATCTATATATATATATATATATATATATATAATTTTGATATTAACTTTTATTTATTTATTTTTTGTAACTTTTATATGAATTTTCATTTAAATGATCCCAAAAGAGAAATTGAAGAAAATAATCCCAATAGGAAAAAAAAGGACACATAGAAAGGAAAGGAAAGGGAAGGAAAGGAAATCAACTTTTGTTTTAAAGAGCCATAAACATTCTTCGAGATAAAGCAAATATGTTTTCATATGCGAATGCAAACAAATAAGAAAGTAATCCATGCACATATATACACACACGCACGTTCACTTGCATACATATAAGTTTTGTAGATATTAAAATTTATTCGTAATGAATGCATTGTTTTTCTTCGTATCTCTGTTGCTGTGTGTGTGTAAGCGAAATTTTTTTCTCCTTTTTTTTTTTTTTTTTTAAATGAATATCAACAAAATCTCAAAGTTTTAAGATCTTGTTTGGAAGCCTAGAATAACTTTTGTTTCATGCAAACTTACAACGAAATTTTATTGAAATTCAAAACCACGACGTTCTCTAGATTAACGTGAACGGCTGGAAAGAGAGAGAAGGAGAAAAGGAAATGAGCGAAAGGGATGTAAAGAGAGGAAGAGAAAAGCGAATAATAGAGAGATAAGCATATGTTTATCTCGAGAAAAATTCACCTATGAAAGTTGAGAGCAGAAGTTGGATGTTAACGTTAGAGTACTCTTTAGGGAAAAAATACCAAATAGTTTCTATTAGCAAATATTCAATACTATTCGCTAAACTCCAGAGAGATGCTAACAACATCTATATAGAAATTGATTTTTATTTTATTTCTTGTTTCCGTAAAGGTGTTCATGAATTTGCTTTTACTTCTTCGCTTCGTAATTTTATTTGCATTCTTGCACTTCTCTGAACCAGAAGCTTTGACTAAGCATTCTTTTCTTATTGTCTTATTTTATCAATTTGAAGGCAATCGATTAAAGAAATTCTTGTGTATTTCTAAATATCTGCTTGCGACCAAAGCGACATCGCCCACTAAACACTATATTATGTTGTTATTGTTCGGAAGCATAGTGATAAACTTAGGCCACGTTTCTTTGACAGCGACATATGCCAATGTGTTCATTAAATTTTTAGAGCAATAGGTAAAAAATAAACAGATAGGCGTTGGGTAAATGCATGTATTATATATGATCGATTTGATATATATATATAGTCTCCTCTTCTCCTTATATTCCTTTGTGATCGCCAAATAAAATTGCTGTTCATTGCAAAGAGAATGATAATAGTAGCATGACTGAAATGATTGAAAGAAAGCGTTTAGATGTAGTTACTAGATACTTACACTAGCTTACCTTGTGTAAAATTGAAAATCCATTGGAATGCCTTCGAGATCTAAGTGCACATTTGTTATTGTAAACATTTATGTTTTCTTATTACAGTTTACTTTGTAAACTTTATACTTGTGTACTCGTAAAGTATATTAAAACAAAAAAAAAAAAAAGAAATATTTTGCAAATGTTAGTGAATGTACTAAAAAAAAAAGACAAGTGAATATAAGTGAAAAAAAGAATGCTGTTGTTGCTGAGTTATTGCAACAACATTGGGATATGGTGGTTGCACAGCAGATTAAACGTACAAAAAGTGTTGAGTTGATGAGCCTCTGGCGTCTAATTGGGGCCCTCCTGGTGCTCTCGGCAACGACGGGGGACTCCGCAAATAAAATCGTCTTACCGCAACAAATTAGTAACAGTGACAACACTATAAATGCTCCCACTGGTATGCACCATTTTACTAAGAATTCCATTTTGGCGGGCAGTAAAGGTACAGTTGTCAGTAGCAATGGCGTCATAGTCGCTGGAAATACAGCTCATGCCTCATCAGTACCATCATCAGCATTTAACAGTAAGTGAAGCAACCACATGTGATGCTTTCTATCTAAATACGATGCGAGAATGACATTTATGCAAATGTTTTCGTTACTTTCTTTTTTCTTTTCGGTTTCGTTTTGTTTCGTTTTTTCTTCTTCGTTTATTCATATAAATGCAATCCATATATGTATGTAGTTGTGCGGTTGTTTATGAGGTAGCAAAGCGTTATTTTATATTTTTGATAATTTGCTTTTTAGTTCGTCCTCCTCGTTTATACGGATTGGGGTTTGGAAAAGCACAGCAACAGATGTTGTAAATTTTATGCATTGTGGTAGCATATGGTTTATTGGTTTGTTGAATGAATGCATAGACGATAGTTGGGTCAACGTGAATAAATTTATTTTGCAATTTTTATTCCCCCTCTATCAACGGCTGAAAGCATTATCGTTTGCAATCATTCGTTTGTAACACTAACAGTTTATTTCCTACATACACATATGTCAACAGCTGATTTTAATACATATGTATGCATATGCACGCACGATCTATATACATAGCTAATACATCTGATCAGATGTACATATACATATATCAGATATACTTGTATATGTGTATATATGTCAATGTCAGACATGCTGATTATTCCGATTCACATTAACCGGGTTCCTCAGCAGGTCTGCTTGTCTAACCTAAGGTTAAGTCCAACCTTCAGACAAAATATGTCAAAATTGTAATGAAATTCCGAATATTACTTTATAAGCTGAAGATGTTTAGCGAAATTGGGATTCTTCTCATGTTCCTCCCTCTTCGTTTTACAAAAACGAATATTTCCGATTTTCCTTAAAATTTCATCCAATAGCTATGGATCAGAATACATCAGTGGAATCATGCAATGATAGTAACTTATAAAATACGTTCAATCGGTCTGTTCCGTCATATTAGAGATTAACTTATTGCGATGTGTGTGGTATTCAGAATTCGTATTAGAGCGAGTAAATTTTTCTTACTTGTTTTTTACGCAGGTTGTTTTTTTTCGCATATGTTTTTACAACTCTTACACTGGCTGTTGTGTATTAATGGTAAAATGACAGCCATTGATGACGAAAAACGAAAATGACTGATAGTGCTGATGGCGTTGATATATTTTTTTTCTATTATTTAAGCATTACATCGATGTTGTGGTAGGGGAAAACCACTGCACTGCACTGCGTTCACATTGATTTTATTTTAATACCGTACTAGATTTCCAGTTTATTTTCTTAATCATAGAAATCTCTTTGTTTTTCTCGTCTCTCCACTGAGATTTATATGTATAGCGCACGATTGGAAATTTTATTATATTGTTTTTACTGATATGTGTTATGTTTTAAATATATTGAACTTATGCTCGCTTATCATAGTTAATTATCGTTTAGTTGATTGAAACCGCATTTGACTCTTCGTTACTCTGCTTGTTAACTGTCAAAAATTTCCAAAAAAAATCTTTTTATATTTTAAAATGATGGATCCACTCTTCACTCTGTCTTAAAAACGTGTTAAGTAAGTTTGACTTGTTTTGTGCTTTTTCGTATAATCTTGAGATTTCCTATCAAATGATTTGGATAAATTTATGCATTTCTTCGTATTCACGTATTGTGTTTTATATCCAACCCTTATGTGATGTTTGCGTAGCAGTCATGTATAATTATCAATAAAGTATATTGAAGAGATGAAAAATTGTGTGCTTTCTTCATAACCTTGATCGATATTCATGTTCGTATATGAAGAGATAATTATAAATCGCTACTAGATTTTATTAAAGACTTTACCAACAATTACGACTATTAATACTCAGAAGAACAGCATTGAACAGTCGCAATAAATATGGTTGCATTTGGCCCGGCATTCATCCCTCGTTTGATAACTTATGGGATAATTCAATGAAATCTTGTTTGGCGGTAATTGTGCATTGATAGGCTTAACTTTGTTGTTGTGCCTTTACATTGAATATTTTGCAGTTTCATTCTCTGCAAATGATAATCGAGTAAAATTTACATAAGATGAACGCAAAACATAAACGCACATTATTGCTTAATAATCTCGTTTTCACACAGTACTCGAGAGCCAGTACATGAATTTATAATAAAGTTATCGTTTCGACTCCATATCTGTTAAAGATTGAGTTTTCTGTTCAGAATTTCTGGTTTACATCATATATTCATCATCATTGTTACTATCGTTGTTTCATCAGAATTCTCGTCAATCGTCGCGACAGTTATTTTAAGGATATATTTTCACAAAAGATTTTATGCTTAATAAAATTTGATTTCACACAAAACTTCTGATGGTTATTACTACCGCAGGCAGAAATTCGATGTATTGTCCGTTACGTACTATAGCCTTGCATAGATCACTCATATAACATGAATGATTTACGTCAACCATTACAATCCAGCAGCCATATCATATCCTGACGCGTAGATGAGTTTTTTTTTTTGTGAAAAGCGACCACTGAGTGGAGTCCTTTATCTCACATATATCCGACATACATTTATTATTTTATTGTCTATATTTTTAAATTCTTTGTAGTTTTTGCTAAAATTCAATTTTAATTAAAGTATATTTGCTAGAAAGTTCAATAGTGAAAGTATTTATCATTACTATTTGAGATCTTTATGCTATTATCAGATAGCTTGCGAATGCCCTCTTGTTAGCAAACAGAGCCGCTGATGGCTACACTGATCTGAAGCAGCGATAATCAGAAGACTGTAGGCCTGTATTATGCGTCACAATCGGGAAATGTTCTCGGACCAAGTCGCAGGTCCCTTCCTGAATAGTTTCCGCTGGAGACGGATAAATTGTGCTCGATTTTCCATCAAGACTTTTCGTCTGAAATCTCGGAAACCCGTTTCTGTTTCGCGTTTTTCCTCCATGCTAACTTCTTTCCCGTTTTAGCTGGTAAAAAAAAAAGGAGAAAACGCAGTACTCTAAATGACATCCATCTCGTCATACGTTGATGTACACTGAACAGTTAGTAAAAAGCTGAAGCTTATACCATACAAATTCTAACGCCAAGGTTATGTGTACACATATTTTCGGAGCAACTAATTTCAATGTAGAGAATTTATTAGTAAACATAAAGGAAAAAGCTGTACAATATAGGTATGAAAGGGCGGTTCGAGTTGCTGACCTCATTTAGCCATGTCTGTCTATGTGCCTGCCGGTAAAAGTTTTGAAATTGTGCGCTTGAATCAATTTCATTGATTAAATTTGTATGAACAAGTATCCAGATCTAATCATAACATTGCGGTTTCTTAAAGCTAATAACTTGATGTATAATTCAGTTTAGGTGACCTCATATAGTGCTCATATATGTCATGGACAAGCACAAAATTTTCCTATTTAACTATCAATATTCTGCTGGTTTGAATGCTTCATTGAATGCTTTTTATATATTTTGTACATACATTCGTAAATATGGATGACTTCAAAAAGCATAGAGAGATTTTGGCTGAGCGACTGACTGACTGCTCTAGTGTTTTAATTTGTCGAATATAAGCATACATCAGATCTAATTACATACAAGGACGTGCTATGGTAAGAAATCTCCAAAAAATGGTAATAATTTTAAATATGCGTATTATTTGAAGTTAGTATTCATCACAGAGCCGCACATTGGCAAAATAATAATGTATTACTCTTAAAAATAATAATAAATGTAAATGTTCTCATATGTGTACAAGAGCTTACAGAATGCATATATATATATATATATATATATATATATTCATATGTATGCATACATGAATATGAAAATATACACACGAATACACCTCAAAATTATATTCGTTCAAGTTGGCAAACGTGATTGCCTCCTAATATTTTCGAACGAAACAAAAGAGGTAACAAAGCCAAGGCCTCGTCATCATCCCCATCATTATCATCATCATTATCATCATTATCGTCATCGTCATCATCATAAGCATCAACATCAACATCAGCATCAGCATCAGCATCAGCACTAGCATCAACATCAGTATCATAGTTCATATACAAGCATATGTATGGCAGACACGTTCTCCAATTGCTTTTATTCACGACAATTTCAAATGGTTAGCCTGTAACGGTACTATGGATTTATACGCTTGGCGTATATGGTGTGTAGCTTTATCAGTAATGGAAAAATTACATTTGTAGAAAATTAGGGCAAACTACGAAAAATACATCTCTTAGTCATTTAGGGTTACAATGCAATCGATTGTAGCTTTTCATAAATGTTTAACCAAATTGCAAGCGTCACTGGATTGTGGTCTTTTTGTTTTTTTTTTCTTTTCATTTTTTTTTTTATTTTTTTTTCTTTTTGTCTTAACAATTTTGTTTTGAAACTAATGGTTCAATTGATATGAACATATGGTTAAAAAGCAATAAAAATGACAAATATTGATCGTGCTACGGAGATTCAATTAGAGAATGACAACAGTTTTTAGATTTATGAGTGAACCATTTATAATTTATAGTTATTTTACGGAATTTGTATGCCGTAAGAATTGTATTTGTACATATGTGAAGTGTTTACTTTTTATGTACAGCCTTTAAACGTTCTATGTGACCTGTACAGAGAGAAAATGAGATTCTTTATGCGACTACGGCTAGCGACTCTCTGCAAGCTATGCCAAGTTCCAACAGATTCATTATGTGTACAAAATAGTTTGAATATAAACAAACAGACAAACATATAATGTTAATTTTTTTGAAAAATAATTTAAATTCTGTTAAAAAGTATTCATTATTTCGATTATTTTTCATATAAATTTGAATTCTCTAAGTGTATGTATGGGTTGTGCATTTCTCGGACGTAAGGATAATACATTGGTTGGAACCGAATTTTTTCCACTCGACAATTGTTTGCTTAGGTCAAAAACCATTTGGGTGAGTTTGACTGATTTTTTCAATTTTAATTACTATTGCAATAGTGTTTGAGTGATAAGTAAAAATATCAACTTTCGCTTTTGAAAGCAGAGCTTCGCTTAGTTCATTACACTGTGGACGTGTCCT